GAATTGAATTGTTTTAATCAGTAAATAAAAGCAAAAGTAGAAAATGTATTAGTTGGTACTTGTGTATTATACCATTGACCATGAAAGTTAAATACCATCGAACCGTGAAAGCTTTTTCAGTTTAAATACCCACCTAAAAATCATACTCGTTTTCATACTTCAGCCTAATCCTTACAAAGTATTTTAAAATAATATATTATGAAGTCGTGGCATAAAAGATTATGTTAAAGAACCCTATATTATTTTAGTCTAAAAGTATTTTTCCCGCCTTCCTAGCGTGCCATCGTGATGTAATGGTTCTGCACGCTGAGCCGATGTTCCAGAGGTCTGTGGTTCGATTCCCGGCGAAAGCGTTTGCTCATTTTTCATCTTCCTTGCTTTTAAAAAAATCCTAATGTTTCTACAAGTCATATCTCGAGTATTTTCACTATTTTGGGGGAAAATCCCTTAGTCGCATCAAATTAAATATGTGAAGCCATACATTTTACATGAAAACACATTTTTCTATGTAAAGCACCTTTCAAAAATACAGGATCATCATATATGAAATCAACTTTATACGGGCATTATATGCTACAATTTTTATTTTACTTTTAAGTTTATGTAATCGATTTATTTTTAAACATTATGTTCTCACAGTTGATAATTATTCAAAAAGAATTGAGCTATTTTATCCCAAGTTTGAAATTATTTACATGATGTGCTATCCATGTAAGGAAATTTATAATGAATATTCCTGAAATAAAATGAGGATAACTTTTATACTTTATTACACATTTTCATGGAAATTTGCACTATATTATTCCCCTGATATATATATAATTGTTTTTATGCTTAAATTACTAGTTACGTTTTCAAAATCCACAAAATTAAGGTGAATATGACGCATATTCATTTTCGTTATGATTTGAAAGATGCCAAGTTGTTTACTATAAAACATTTAATTAGTAGTGCAGCACACATTTTATTTTACATGCAGGCTATTTTTTTAAACAATTAGCATTCAGTAGTAATTACAAACATAAATGTGTAAAATTAAATAGGTATATAAGGTTATTATTTAAATTGACCAGTTTTTATGGTTTTGGTCTTCACTATAACTTCCCTTTTCCGTATTCATCACCCAAATGAGTTAGCCAGTATTTAAATTGCGTTTATTGTTTTGTTTCGTTTTAAGGCAGAGTCTTTTTCTCCCTTCGCATGCATGCTAGGTGTAAAATGCTTGTCAATTCTGATAGTTATAGTTATTCGGCTTTGCTTTCTATCGCTGACGGCACTTTGGTTTTGATACTCGGGAAGAATTATTGAGGCAGCTTATTGTAATACTTCATTGTTAAGTCATTGACTGTATTCCACGTTTAACTCAAATTTTTCTGTTTAGTTACATCACCACGAGCTGTGGCTGATACTGTTGCACAAGAGAGTGCGTTTATGTTCTAAATTCTGTTTAGATAAAAGGTTATTTAAATCTTCCCACGATTTTGTAATTACTTTAGGCATACCGATAATTCACTGTACATCTGTTAAGGCCTATTGGACAAATTAACATTACCAAATCAAGTAAAAATCTTACAAGCTGCGTAATTTGAAGTTCTCTTAAGATGAGATATTACATTATTGCATTTTTTATTGGACTGAATTCCAATTCAAACTATCAGTTTCTCAATGTATCTGTCTCTTCTTAATGTAAAAGTAGAGCTAACTGTAATAGAGAAAAAGGTAGCCATTCAGCATTTCGACCAAGCCGGTCTGAAATAAGGATCCAACCGCACTTTCTTCTTCTCTTTTCTTTCTTAACGGAAAAAATCCAGAGGATAGTAAAGGAATAAATTAAGGATAAGATGTGATAGCTTAATAAGCTCAGCAATGATTGCTTGTCAAAAACTTGGGCAAAGAAGATTACGCAGTGTACAGGAATAATTTCTAAACACAATCTCATATTGTAAGGTAATCTCTCGTTGAGATTATAAATAGCATATGAATCTTGAATCCTTTCGTGTTTCAAAGAGAATAAATTACGAAATTTATGATGATAGCTTTAGAGTCCATATGTTCGGATTACTTTAATGTTCGTAGTCATTGATTAATGTGATAACAACCAATTAATTCGATATAAACGTACTTTCTTTTAACTTTCTCAATCTTTTCACATATTGTTCTTTTACATCAGTTTCAACTTCATTTTAACTTGAGAGTTTAAAAAAAAAATGAAAATGTGTGTAAAACTTTCTTTCTACTATATGCTTAACGATCTCGAAATCAAAAGCGAACAAATTTAATTTTCTAACACATCACTGCAATGAAAAAGATAGCGATTGCATTTTGTTTGCTTTCTTGATATGTGCGTGTCTACGCATATATTTATACGCTTTAGGTTTTATACGCTTTAGGTTATACGCTTTAGTTTAGGTCATACGCTTTAGGTTAAATTTGGAACAAGAATCATAAAAAAAAAAAAAAAAAAAAAAAAAAAAAAAAAAAAAAATTTAGAGAACCCTTCCATGGTATTCGAAATCCTGGATGGACATGGAAAAGGACCCAGCAAAGACTTCGCGGAGAGAAAGATGCTAGATATTACCGTACAAAACTTCGGGGATGAAGGAAAAAGCAAGGAGAATATATTTCGCTTTTAAAATATTGTGGTAGAAAATAAAGTGGTTCAAAATTTACCATATTTTGAAACATTCTGTACAAAATATCGTGATAAAAGATAAAATACCTGCAAATCATTGCATGATAATAATATGGCAAACAATTTTTAAAACTGAAAATTTTAGATGTACGTTTGCATAAAGGTCTGTGAGAACAAGAAGAAATGAAGAATATTTTTGCTTCTGTGATTACTAATACACTTTTATAAAAGAGATGAATTTAAAAAATGACTTCAAGTAGTTAGTTATACACGTTTAAAATTATATTAATTGTCACTCGTACCATTCATTTCTACCTATTTTCAGATTTTAAAATCTTAAATTTCCTTCTCGTTTTTTCAGTGAAAGTTATCTTCTCCCTTCTTCCAGCATGCATTCATAGTGTAATTAGAAGCATACCCCACGTGTATTCAAGACGTCCAAGTTCGAATCCCGGCGAGGGAAATCCGCATTTTTCGCGTTTCCTGCTTCAAAAATGAACCTAATGACTCAACAGTGGCGCCCGAACTAAAAGGTGGTAAACAATAATTCGTCACCACCAGGTTTTGACGGCTGGGTCTCCTAATCTCCGCTTGCCATTTCAAATAGGGAGTACATAAGGTATTTTCTCCCTCCTTCCAGCAAGTCTTCGTGGTGTAACGGTAGCTCACTCGACTGGTATTCTCGAGGTTCCGGCAAGGACATTGCTCATTTTTATGTCTACTACTTCACATAAAACCCTAATAACGCTACAATTTATTAATTAAAATAAAAATATAAAATATAGAGATAAAAATATTCCTCATTCTTCGTGCGCTTACGTAAACTACGTTATCATTATGTGAACATGCATTTAAAACATTTAAAGTCTATAAACACACGTATGCAGTGATGTGCAGGTATTTTTTTACCAAGATATTTTGTACGACGCTGTTTTAAAATTGCTGACTTTTGGGGCCACAATATTTTAAAACTGAGGTATTTTCTCTTTTCTTTCTCTTCTCTCACGATGATTTGTATGACAGTGTTTCCTCCGCGACTTTCTCGTCCGCTTATGTGTTCGTTTATAACCGCTAGCCAAAGGTGCTCTCCAGTTATAACACGAAGGCACGCTGTAAGAAGGATAGACTTTCTTACAAACTTTCCCACTTATTGGACGACAGCGGAGGAGGAGGGGATTTAATCGCAAAATCCAGATGTGACGAATTATCGCCCACCGCATTTTAGAACGGGCTCCACTTGCACAGTCATATAAGCAGGCAATATAAAAATTCAGCATTGCTCTCCACGGAACTGAAACTCCAGACCTACCAACTGCCAGCCAGATGTGCTTCAGATTACACCGAATATATGCGGTAAGGTGTGAGAAAGTGACTTACGGTTTTCTCTACTAGAGAAAAACGTTTCTTTTTTCTTACGTTTTTCTCTCTAGGAAGAAAAGGACAGAGTAGTTAAATTCAGGTGGTGATGAATTTTCGTTTTCTACAATTTAGTTCTGACTCCGCTCGTAGAGTCATTAAGATTTTTTGGAACAAGAAATGTGAAAAACAAGCAATGACTGTCCCGAACTGGAATTTCGAACCTGCCAACTGTTAACCAGACGTACCTTCCAATTGCATTGCGAAGGAACGTGGTGATCAAGGAGAAAATTTTTTACAAGTGGACTGAGATTCTTAGTTAGTACTGAAACTGAGAGGACTCAGAAGTTACTTAGCCATCTTAGACGCAAACTAATTCTCTCTCAGTGAATAAACGCAGTAATAAAAAGGAAACTATATCGAACATTTGTTGCATTAAAGTAATTTTTGATTCAACTAATCAGAAATATTTCTTTTCTGTTATTATAATTTTGGAAATATATCACACTTTTCATTAAATCGTATTATTTCCTATTTTCAGATCCAGCAAATATCTGCTTAATACAGCATTAAATGTAAAATGCGAAGCGTTATTCTTCGTAGTATTTTGCGGTATGCAGTTTAACAAATAAAAATTCTTCCACTACGATGCGATAAAAATAGATTTGAACATCTGTTAAAATCTACGAGAAGTACTTGCATTTTATCAAGCCTTCAGTTGTTTTCAAAACTTCGAATTTGAAACATTACCATCTTTTTAAAATAAATCCTTAGATGTGAATTTACCACTTCTTCTTTACTTTTCTGTTAATGCACAATCGATTCCCTCCTATTGTATTTTTGCTGTCCACTTTCCCACTCAAACATTTTCTCATTTATTTTTTTCGTATTTTCAGCTCAATTATTGCCCATTAAACCGCTCATTGATGCTTAATGATCTCTTGTTAAATATAAGAATTTTCTTGCTGACGTAAGCTACACATTTCTGAAGCTGTACTTTCATGTTTTGCAGATGGCAGCAGGTCGAACGGCGTCGGAAGCAGCGCACTCAAGCGGAGTATCCTCTCGCAGCTGACGTCACAAGACAAAGGGGTGCCGCTGGCGGGAGTCCCCTCTCCTCCTAATCTCTCGTACCCCCAAGCGACATCCTTCGATTACAGACTGGAAAAATTGCTCGAAGAGGTGAATGTTAATCAGTTTCATTGTTATGATGTTATTTTTTATCGGAAGCTGTAGAGGACTTAAAAATTGCTCAATCCATACTTTTCAGTAATCAGTGATATAACTTGGGACAGTTTAAATCCTTACTTTCTTCCGTTAATTTCTAAAAATAATTCTGCGGTTCTTATATTTCTCAATATTTATGCGGCATAAAATGATGTAGCTTGCGCATTCACGGAATTATATCCACTATTTAAAGTATTCGAAAGATCTGTTTAAAAATTTAAGAAATAACGGTTTATTATCTATAAAATACAGATGGAGCGAGAATGGATTATAAGACGATGAAATAAAGGAGCACGAAATAATGTTTCCTCAATATTTCTTGGTAGCTGCACTGTGCAGATATAGTTGCATAATGTACAAAATGCAGTTGCGCGATTCAAAAATATGCTTCTGCCACGCGTTATTATGAAAATGCGTTTTACATTAATACTTTATAGTTCACTGAATGCGTGAAAAGTAAAATCGTTTATATAACTTCAAAAAATCTGATGTGTGCACCACATGACTTCCTTGTACGGAATATTAAATTATACGCATTTTTTCTTGCATTTCGTTTAAACTTATTGGATTGAATTAAACCTATTTCGCCGACAGCGCATAAACCACAATAGAATAAATGCATTCATTAAAATTCACTCTATTTGTTTACCATAGCGACACTCTGGCACTAGGTTCACTTAACAGTATTATATTTTGTTCATATTATAACTCGGAACGCACAAAATTTATATCATTTAAAGAGTTATCTAATCGTGCCACATGTTCTATTCAAATACTATAACAAAGCTAGAACGATGTATAAAAGAAATTAAGCAAACAAAACAAAAAAGAAACAGTTTTCACACACAATTTAGTATTTCTCATTCAATTAATTCAGTTCTCACTTCGCGACAAGGCAAAAATACATAGAAACCCAAAATATCTGTATTAAAAATTACGAAGTAAATCTTAAACACTTATTTCCTCGAAAAATTCCAGAAAGGATTAAGCATGATTTAAATTCGCAATAATAAATGAAGGCGTTATCTTTGTTGTTGCGAAGCTACGTTTCTCTAGATTGGCAACAAAACCACTACTCTGCTGTTTCAAATGTAAACAAGCAATGGCAGCCATCAAGAAAATTATTAGGCTTAGCGGCACAATATTGCATTTTAATTCAAACGCAACTCTCTGTACAACAAAATAATAAATAAAATATTCGTACTGCACTAGTACTGATTCAGATTTTCTTTTTAGGGTCTCATTCCTTAAATGGACACAAGGCAAAATCAGTCCTTCGAAAATTCCTTTGTTTCCAGCTCGTCTGAACGGTATTCGAGATCCCAACAACAACCTTAGAGCATAAAGTCTTTACAAAACCGAATAGTTGGACCAAAATTCAAACGAATCACGTGCCTTTGTTTCAAGAAATGCCTCCTTTAGAATATACTTGCGAAAGAATCGTTCAAAACACCGGTGAAATCTCAACATGAAATAGTCACATGTAAATCTTCTAAGAACTCTTTCTATATGTATGGTAATAGACGGAGGAGAATTGGTTGGAGAAAAAGAGGGGGTAGAGATTTTCGATATCTCCCGTTATTCCAAGTTGTCATGATTGGGAGCAGTTATTCTAGCTTTTCCTCACTTCCCAATCATTCTCGAAACCGCTGTGAAAGATGGAGAGATGGTCGCCTGGGGCCAAACGGGAAACGTCGGATAAATTTTCGCAAAAATTCCAAGTTACCCAGAGGGCAGGGGGGAGCGAGTAAACCGGTGAAGGCGGGAGTGAACTTCATTATCTCATCTGTTTCTTTTCCCGAATTTTTAACCTTACGGGAGACTGCTTTTGTTTCTTTGTGGATAAAGTGAAACGAAAAGGTCGCCTAAATTGGCATATTTGAAATAGGAAGAGGCAGTTTTATTTTTCTTACGTCATCATGGAAGAGCCTTCATTTATGGAAATATGTGGAAATGGTAAGCGTATGTGCATGAGTATTTGTCTCTGACGTTAAAAATCTCTTTAAATGAGTTTTCCCAAATTTCGGAGCCCTTGCGTTATATTAAACTTTATAATCCGCCTAATCTGGTAAATATTTTGCTGTGAACAAGACATTAAGACGTCGAACTTACCTTGCACATGGCCTGGCAGTCACACTCTAGACTACTACCATCCAGTATGACGAAAGATCCTGAGTTTTACCTTTCAAATGATGACGAGTGTTTTAAATGAAGTAAAAACATCTTTTAATATTTGTAATTTTTATTTTATTTCAGAAATGTGTAATTCATGTCGTTTAAAATATGTTACTACATAGCGCATTCATTTGATAACTGCAGATTTTTGCAATATTACTGTAATTAACGATTGTATGACTATTTAAAAGCTTACTAATCTCAAAATTGCAAAAAAATGTGATATTATTGAGTCTGTAAGAATAAAAGGAAAAACTAGTCTAGTCAGAGAAACTACTGTGTAATTCATTCCACCTTCAGAATTGCTTTATTTCTTGAAAATTGACTTAGACAGTGTCATTGTCTTGTTAATTCGAACGTTTCTAGTTTGTTTTGTCAACTGATCTGCCCCTTCATTTCCTAGGCTGACAGTGTGGCCGCGTACATCAAACAAAATAATATCAATACCTACAGGTGACAATTAATTTATTTCAGAACAAGATATTCATAAGAGAATATAAGGACGAAAAAGAATCAGTGAAAATAAGAAAGTTACAACTTAACAATGATTAGAAATCCTCAAAATGGATCACTAATACAGAGTAATTTAAAACCATTACCGTTGCCATTAAATTCACGCTATAAATGGAAAAGTAACCTATTAAAATTTTTAAGTTATCCCGAAAAAGATTCAATACGAAAAACATATATAAATACTTTAAACGCGTTAAAAATAATTGCTTTTTTTATTAGCTTCACCTGAACTATAAAAAATACTGTTTTCTTTCTAAAGAAGATCGCAGAATGTTTTGAAAAAAGTTATTAGATTAGAAAATATTGGACAGCATTTAGCTGAAATGTCGTAAGCATGGCCTGGAATTCATTAGAGATATATTTCGAATTCAATTAATTTAGTTTTCACTTCTCGGCAAAAGAAAAAATAATAATAATTTAAAATAGCTCCATTAAAAATTATAAAATACAGAAAAATATAAAGCAACAAACACAGTTAAAACAAGTAAAAAAGCAATTAGAGCTTTTAATTCAAAAACAAGTAATTCATCCTGCGGGTAAGACGGCAAATTTTTCGGTGCACAAAACTGAAAGTTTACTTTTGGTTCCACTCGGCAAATGTCTTTGAAGTTGGTACAAAAACTGACTTAATTCACTATTCCACTAAGAATTTCGAATGTAAACAAACAGTGGATTCTTTAGGCTTAGTACCACTTAAACAACTTTTAAATTGTTGGTAATTCTACAACTATTAGTCGCAAATTAACTAAAGGCAAAAAACCTTAAAGGAAGCATATAAGCATAATTCAATCCCTATTAAAGCAAAAAATGCACAATTTACGAACATATTAGAATAAAAAAAACTAAGCTCACCGAGCCAGGTAACAGAGTGGGAATATATATGTATACTTATAAAAGATTGGTGCCGCCGATTACAATTAAAAAATGAGGTGCACAATTACATGTTATAGGAGTCGTATATGTAAAATTTTAACGCTCTACGGTTACTCGTTCTTGAGTTACGCGAGATACATACATGTGTACGTACAGACGTCAAGGAAATGATCCCTTCTGAATTCATTTTGAAATCTTTTTTGGCAGAAACAATCTTTATTCTGTCCGCAAGTACAGATGTCACGAAAAGCATCGTTCAAATGGTTTCGAGAGAGGTTAAAAGGGATATTTTCATTGAAATATGATACCCGAAATTTTTCGTGATTAGAATACACTCTTTACTTCGTACAAGGAAGTAAACATATATCTCCTTGTTAAAATCCTGTTAAGTTTCGGTCGCACGAAAATTTTATTTACAGCACTGGATACTAATAAGCAGGGATTTACATAGCTAAGATACAAATTTGCCATCATAATTGAAGATAAAATTTACGTTTCTTTGAGTTCAAAACTAGGAAATTTTGTCAGCAGCTAAATACAGTTAAAGAATTGCTACATGACGGCTTTTCAAGAATATTTGCAAACATTTATTGAGTATATTTAGGTCAAAGAACTGCAAAATAATAATGGATAAATGTTTGAATCCATGCCGATCTTTAAAACATGACTCTTTATATTCACACCTCTGAAACATTAAAGTTTGCAATTCAGTCTTTTAAGGCTTCGTTATTTGATTCACGCCTACATTTCTTCTTTGGCAGTAAAAGAAATAAATTGGTAAACATAATGAACTCTTTTTATCAAAAATTTTCTTTTGCTGATAAATGTTGTCCAAACCGTTGGATATCCAGTACTTTTGTTGACTTCTTCAAAAATGTTAAGAATTAAACCGAGTTACTGATAGCCAATAAAAAATATCATAGCGTAAAAATGCTTTTTTAAGGCTAGATGACCAAAAAGTATTAGAAAAAATGCAAAAAGAAGCGTCAGAAATGTAAAGAATTCTGATGTTACAACTTGACACCTAAAAACATTTTATTCCAATAAGCTTGCTGCTAATTCAAATGAAAGCGTTGGCAACTCTCTAGCGTTTCCTAAGACGAAAAGGGAAGAGGGTGAGATTGAAACGGTACATCATTACAAACCACGATTGTAAATATACGCATTCTGAACTCATGCAAATTTGTATAACAGCAAGATAAGTGAGGAAACTGCAATTTTGACATTGAAAAATTCCTAAAAGACACTTGAAAATGTAGAATATACTATGTCTGAAAAGGTTAAAAAAACCTACTCTGGTTGCAAATCTTTTCCAAGTAAGTTTTTTCTTCCTAGGAGGTAATGTATCTAGTGATTGCACTTAATAAATTCTTGGTTTATTTCAGTAATAGTTT